TCATAGTATGTTTAATGTGCATGTGGCAGGTGAACCCTATCATCTGGCTATAGTGCAATGCCTAATTATCATACAGAAAAAAACCTAGGGGAAGTTTTTGTAGGTAAGTATGCCAAAGGTCATGTTCCAAATAAGGCCAGGCATCTATGCTTGGAGACACTTTCCAAATAAGGTCAGGCAGAGAGCAGGAAGCCCCTGCTGAGAAAGGGAGTCCTCCATTCAGCTTTGCACTTCGTAGAGCTATCCAGACATGGTGGACTGAAACCTTAGCAGTTGGGCCCCCAACATCTCTCCCTGTTTTGTTTTATAATGGAGAAGTGTCATCACAAGCTTTAAGAGCCAACTCATCTATATTGGGAGAATCCAAAGTCTGATAATTGACCATGACTTGATTGGTAGCAATTTTTGCAGTAGTAGTAATTTGTCAGTGAAGAAATTGTATGAAACAGGGAGCAAGCATCAAAATAACACACAACATAATCAGGGGGCTAGCAAAGGGTAAGAGCCATGAAAACAAGGGGTTACTAAACCAACTTAATTGTTCGGTGCGTTGAAATCTTGAGAGTAGTAACATTGGTCTCAACAACATTTGGCTCATTTACAAAAAAGCAGCATTCTTCTCCCAATAGAACACGTTGTGCCCCCCGCCCCGCCCCCATTTGGCATCTTAAGACTAGTCTAGTGCTTTTCTGTTCTGGAGCACAATCCAGCAAAAGAGTTCATCTGTCATTGGAGAGACTCAAGGCTGTCAGTCATGGATGCCATTGCTTGGTCCAGCTTGTCTCGTAAGTACCCTGCCAGGTGATGGGTTTGTACAATGGCAGTAGTCACAGTGCCTCCAGCACCCAGGGAGAGGGTGAGTCCAAGTCCCACTAGCAGGGGGATTAAGAGTTCTCTCTGTGGGTGGGTGTGAAGGAGGAGGGCAGCCTCTTCTTCCTCGAACAGGTAGGCCTGGGGGATAATCATTACAGGTATGCAAAAGGTGGACAAAGAGGAGTTAATACAGGGCTGGGCATTTCCTTTGCATCATAGAAAAAGAAGAGGGGCGACACATGCTGTCCTGGAGAGAGTAATGTTAGTGAGGCATTTGTAATGAGTAGATTTTTTTTTACTGGAATTGCACATTGGATAGTTGGACAGCATTTGTAATGAGTAGATTTTTTTTACTGGAATTGCACATTGGATAGTTGGACAGTTGTTCAAATAAGGGAATATCCGACTTGTGCGTGTCAGTGAAATCCTTTGTTGTTTTGGGGTAAAGAAGGGTGGCATTAACTGGTACTGCTGTCAGTAAGGGTCTACTGCCTGATGCACAAAAGAAACAGAGGCGTTAGGGTGGGTGGTGAAGGGAAGGAAGTCAGCAACGTATTGAATATATTGCCTCTAAGACATCGTTGATCTTATCTGGTCCTCTGTTTTTCCTGTAGAATAATATTATGATGAAATAGCACGGGCTTAGCTGCAGGTACAAGCTGGCAAGAGATATGAAAATCAGCGGTAGGGTAGCTAGAGACTCAAAAGAAACAGAGGCGTTAGGGTGGGTGGTGAAGGGAAGGAAGTCAGCAATGTATTGAATATATTGCCTCCAAGACATCGTTGATCTTATCTGGTCCTCTGTTTTTCCTGTAGAGTAATATGATGAAATAACACGGGCTTAGCTGCAGGTACAAGCTGGCAAGAGATATGAAAATCAGTGGTAGGGTAGTTAGAGACTGTGCCTGGATAGAACTTTCCCATCACTCCAACATGCCACAGATTGTCCCATGGATCTGTAACATATATTAGGGAATAGGCATGGTATCCATAGAGATACTTATTATCTTTCAAGTAGATGGGTCTTTCCTGTCCTGTCACACCCTGATAGCCCCCAGTCAATCCCAGTTCCAACCTACAGGGATTGAAATAGCGGCAGCCCCCATAGGTATCAACTTCCTTGAGGCATGATGGATCTGTCTGTCAGAAAGGAAAGCAAACATATTCATCAGTGTTGTATCCGCTAGCATTTGGGTATATTATGGTTTCTATGGACTTTTGACATCCCACTAGGGAGCAGTCTTTGGTTCTGATTATTTGACTTTTCCCTTGATATGTTTCCCTGACATAAAATCTCCAGAGCACAGTATTGGGGGAGTGGAGCTGGCAGAAGCTTTGGTGTTAAGTAGGGTAAAAACGGCCATGAAAATGACAGAGAAGGAAGCTGGGGGAGCATCTGTGGGGACAGTATCCACCAGATCATGGATCTCTTTCCATGTGATCTGGTGTGGTTTCGGGTGTTTCCTCTTCTTTCTTTTGGTTGTCTCTGACAAAGTCATGGAAACCATGTTTTTTGTGGGTGTGGAAGTGCTGGACATTTCTGGCTGTAACCCAGATAGGCTTTGGTTGATCCTGTGGAAAACAGAAGCAAATCCTCTCCCTATGGTCAGTAATGGATCTGGTCCTATCCAGATTCCATCGAGGGGGTCCCTCCATTTAACCATGATAGGTGGTATGGGGTGTGTCTGGTCCCAATGTCAGGCTATGGGGGGGGGTCGGAGCTTCAATATACATTGAGTACATTAAGGGTAAACAAGGCTAATGCTAATTGAATGTTGGGAGAATATGTTGTTTGAGCCTGTTTTTGTAGCTGATTTTTTAATGTTTTATGGACCTTTCCACAATGGCTTGTCCTTGTGGGTTATATGGGATGCCAGTGTGATGGGTGATTTTCCAGGCTTCACAAATTTTTTTAAACAGAGAGCTGGTAAATGCTGGGCCATTATCCCTCTTTAGTTGTGAGGGGAGGGCCATGATAGCAAAAGATGAGAGCACATGATTTATTAGATTAGATTTTTTTGAACTTTTGCCACTTTGGGCAGAAGCCCAAAGGAAATGGGAGTGTGTGTCTATGGTTATGAATATGCACTTTTGTCTACCAAATTGGGGGACATGGGTTACATCAATTTGTCAGAAAGTGTTAGATTTTAGTCTCCGAGGGTTGGTGCCCATCTGTTGTATAGCAGGGGTATGTATCATTGACATACAGGAGGAGCAGGTTTTAACAATGTGTTTAAGTTGTTTGAGGGGAATGTGGGGGAATCTGAGAAGGAGCCCTTGTAAATTAATAGCATGGTGGAGGTGTTGGGCATCCTTTACACTGGCAGAGAATGTCCCAGTGGTGGCTACCTCATCAATGATGGCATATCCTTCAGTAAGAGGACCTGGGAGGGAGGAATGGGGTCTGATATTTTGGACAAATAACGGAGCCACCCGTTGTTGTAGCAGTGTAGAAATTTTAATTAGCAGGGGTGAGAGGGGGTTGCATGGAGGGACATCTTGGTACACAAAATTAACTTTATAGGTATTAACACAAATGATAGAATACATGAAATTTAGTGGGGGGGAGGATTGGGGAGGGGCTTTAAAGATGATTAAGATGTTTTCTGTGATGGGCACAAAAACATTGAAACAATAATACAAAAACTGAATTGGACCAGGAGTGGTGGTGTACACCTTTAATTCAACTTGGGAGGCAGAGACAGATGGATCTCTGATATCTCAAGGCCAGCCTGGTTTATATAATTAGTTCGAAGCCTTCTGCAGCTACAAGACTCTGTATCGAAAAGATTAAAAGAAATGAGAATATGAAGTTCTTTCTGTCTAGATCCATTTAAATATAAAATGAAGGCATCTTGGCCCCTTCTCCTCTAAAGACTTCATCAATATTTTCCTTTAATGAATTTTCTTACATAACATCAAGTTGCCCATCAAATCAGGAATCAGCATTGACAAATTATTCTATATTATTCTATCCAGGTTTCAGCTCCATTTAAAGTTTTATCAGTTTGCCTGCATTTCTTTTGTAATAAATGATCCCAGCTAGTTTCATTAGCTGCATTTAATGTTAGTCAGTGTTCATCAGTTTGATTCAATCTAGAACATTTAAAAAGTCCTTGAAAGTCAAGGTTTTGTACTAGGAAGAGTAAATACCATCTCCTTTATAGGACTCAGCCTGGGTTTGTCCTCATGATTATGCTTACCACATGCATTTTTTTTTTTGTCAGTGTCTTACTTTGCTAATGCTGCCAAAACAATGTATGAAAGCTCAGGAGTATTAAACATCAGAAAATCAGGGTTAGAGAGATGGCTCAGAAGTTAGGAGAACTGGCTTCTCTTGCAGAGGATCAGGGTTCCTAGTTCCCAGAATCCACATGGTAGTTTACAACTGTCTGTAATGCCAGTTCCAGGGCATCTAATGCCCAGATCTGGCAGCTGGAGGTATTGCATAAATGTGTTGCACTTACATACATGCAAATAAAAACCATTTCCTTCCAAGCTATAACAAATAAGGGAACTAGTATATAATTATTAATATGTTCAGGCATGCGCTTTGAAAGAAGTGAAGTAAGGGATTTATTTGGGGAAGTGATACAGGCTTTAGAGAGTATCAACCCAGACCACACACACACACACACACACACACACACATACACACAGACACACACACCTTTTTGTTTTCTAGAGATATTTCTCCATGACATTATCAAGCAGCATGCTCTTCATTAGAAGACGGACTCTGGGTTCTGAGATAACTTCTGTTACTAATTTGTTCCTCTTAACAGTTACTCTGATGCAAGATCCTGAAGGTTGTAACAGTTGTATTTAAATAATAAGTTTATGGAGACATTCATAGCATAATAGCTTGGCTTGTGGGAGGAAGGGGAACTTTTCTGATACTGTACTCATACTACATGATTCAACTCATACCACATGATTCAATAACTCATGTATCAATAATTTCTTTTATTTTTGAGCATGAGAATCATAATTTTTTGTTGCTAGCCTTGTGAGAAGATAGATGTTTACAATACAAGGGATTTCTCTGTCACTCTTCTTTCAAAACCTCCCAAGCACTTGCAAATCTTGGCAAATAGAAACACTCTGAACAGATGGAGCTATCAGGCTGAGCAACATGTGCAGCCAAGACTCTCACTTCTGCTTCTGTGTGAGGTTTGTGTTATGAGTTATATCACTGTGGGAGGAAGCTTATCATACTGTAGACAATAATAAGTTCCGATATCTTCAGACTGTAGGCTGCTGATTGTGAGAGAAAGCTGTGTACCAGATCCACTTCCACGGAATCTTGTTGGGACACCATTTTGTAAATAGGATGCACCGTAGATCAGAGACTGAGGAGCTTTCCCTGGTTTCTGTTGATGCCAAGCTAAGTACGTGCTAATATCCTGACTTGCCTGACAAATGATGGTAACACTTTCTCCTAAATTTCCAGAGAGTGAGGATGGAGACTGGGTCACCTGGATATCGCATTTGGCACCTGAGATTGGAAAATCAAAGATAGATTAATTAAAAACAATTAATTCTGCTAGAATAGGACTGTGCTAAACACCAGAAATCACTTATCACAGTGTGCTCTGTAAATACCCAGTGTTTTTCTTCTTACCATCCAGCCAGAGTAGCAGGAGCCCCAGATAGTGAATGGAGGTCTTCATGTCTATGCTGTGTGCTGAGTGGGAATGAGTGTTGAATAGATGTGACCATGCTATTATGTCTTCATCTCAGTGGGCTGGGATGTGGGCAGATGCAAATCAGTATAGCAGATGCATAGCAGTGGCCTGGGCATAGCTATAGGGCTGCAATATTGCCATAACTCCCCACAGCCTTGATGTCTCCAGGTATTACACATTAGACCAGTATAGATTTATCTGGAGAGAATGTGCTTGTCTTTGGAAGCCAAAGAACATAGCAAGTGTACTAGTTGCATATTAACTTGATTTCTTTCATGCTCACTTTTGTTATTCTTTATATGTTTCTCTCTATGGTGGGGGCTGTCAGATGTAGCATATTCTGAAAAAGTTCACAGAAGTTTACACTTTCTTTTCATATTTACCTGTGGATATTACTGTGGTTTCTGATGATTGCTGATTCTCTTTTTGTGAAATGAATGTGCAGTAGAAAAATATTAGGAGGCACGATTTATAAGGAGAACCGGATCTTACATCACTTATCTGTCTTATCCAGTTAACTGCTCACTCCAGCGAACCATCTCACAGCACTTATGGTTGCTTAGCTACTCAGGAGTGACTTCCACCAAGGTCAGACAATGCCGTGGATTTTCTTTTCTATGTTAAGCATATGTTCACCTTTTAAAAATCTAGTTGGGATTTGTTTATGTGTAATATTTCTATTGTGTGTCTGATCGTTCTTGCTCTCGACTCCTTGTTTCCTGAACCTGCATATTCTACTCTCAATAAATCTGTGCTATCTCCTCAGGATACATTATTCCTAATGATTGCCTTTCATACAGTGGGCATCAAGATGGATGAAAAGAGAAGCATGCTAAGAATGTTAATATAGAAGGTCTTTATGGAGACGTACAGCCACTGTGAGGACCAGAGCATGTCCCCAATGAGATTAGTGGTATAGTATGGTCAGTAGGGGTGTCTGAAATGGTTGAATGAGGGGAATCTTTGATGTGTATATCCATTCTGTAGGAGACAGCACTGAGGCAGGATAAGGAAGACACCCATGCAAGACCATAGCAAAGGTGAAGAGGTATTAGAATGAAACAGGTGTGTGCTTAAGAAAACAGTCATCTACAAGGGAAATTGATATAAGTGGTAATCCAAACAACAAATTGACTTTGTACAAGGAGATTTATGAAAGAAGCTAATTTGCTAGCAACATACTGAGGACAATATCCAGTACTGGAAAAAGTAGTTATATATGTAAAAAAACTAAATTTTGGAATAGAATTTAAAATATCAACATAAACTCAACACTTATTTCAGAATATACATGAAGATGTGGATATATATTCGTATGGTTAAGTGAATGTCTTAGTTACTTTTCTGGTGTTGTGATAAGACACCATGAGCAAGGCAATTTATAGAATGATGAGTTTATTTCAATGTTCAATTCCATCATGCAGGGAAGGCATGGTGGCAAGATTAAAAAGAGGAGTGTTAACATCTTCAAGTAGGTACAGAAACAGAAAGCGACTGGAAAACTGGCAAGGCTTGATAACTCTTAAAGCCTGCCCTTAATGACACCTTTCCTTTAGTGAGACCACACCCCTTAATAGGTTCCAAAACTATGCCATCAGCTGGGGACAAAATATTCAAATACCTGGAGTGTTTAGGTCATATTTTTCTTTCAGTCTACCGCAGTGAACTTATAGGTAGATGGCTAGATCATTAGTATATTAATAGGAAATTATTTTCCTCTAGTTTATAAGGAATTACTCTTAGTTGGATAATATTAGCTGCTTTTTAACATAAATACTGTTGAAAAGAAACCTTCAAAATTTGGATAGTAACTTTCTCTGAATCTCGGGTAAATAATACAAAGGTTGAGCCTGGATCATCTTACATGTAGGTAAGATGAGGGTGTCATAATAAATCAACTTAGAAGGCAGTCTGATTAGGACATGAATTGGCAAACTCTGAATGACTAGGTTTAACACATAAATTAATTGAGATAATGTTATAATCCATTGAAGGGAATACCAACATTTGAATTCACATTGAAATTTTAAGAGAAAATAGATATAAACAAAGTTTTAACTATGGAGTGCAAAACCACATCATACATACACAACTGCCTAATATTTCTACCCAGTACCTGTGGTTCATAGACACTTGAAATTCATGTGTTGTGCTTTTAACACCCAGTACCTCAGAATGTGACAGTTTATGGAGAAGGAATACCTAAAATATTTTATTCTGTTCATTTGTTATGTTTATGAGTGCATTACCTTCATGTATGTAAGTGCTTGTGTCATGCAATGCCCACAGAGGTCACAGGAGGGCGCTGGATCCCCTGGGCCTGGAGTTATGGACAGGTGTAAGCTGCATGTATGTGCTCAGAACTGAACCTGGGTCCTCTACAGGATCAGTCAGTGCTCTGAACTGCTGGGCCATCCCCAAGTCCCAAAGACAAAGAATATTTAAAGAGTTAATCAAGTTAAAGTGAAAGCATTTGGTTTTCATTTAGCAGAATACCTATTATGTTTGTAAATGGAGGAAGCAATGACTCAGGGAACAGCACTGCTGACCCTTGATCTCTATCATACGACATACTCTTTTGACTCTATTTCCAGGCCCTTCTCTCTCCCACAACTCTTCCCCTCATTCCTTCACAATTTTCTGACATTCTTGATACGTTCTTTGTTAAAATCATCTCGTTATTGTTACCTACACTTCTCTTAGAGACAAATCACCCTTCAGCATACTCATAACAACTCCATTCTGACACCTCTCTCTGATCATTGCTAACTTTTGACCCTGCATGAGTATATTTAGCACGGTGCCCAGATCTGAATTCTTCCCAATCGTTCACCATCCATGTGATACTCTCTTTTATTTTTCTTAGTCACTCACACTGAATCAAAAACACCAACATTCCTATGTAAGGGCACTCTGTGGACACAAGTGTGGCTCCATCTCCCTTTGTATAAGTTCTATCTTTGCAACCGCACATGCTTCTCTGCTCACCTTGATTGAGCCCCACTTTTCTAAATCTGTCTATGGAGATCTGTATCCGGTCAAGAGCAGAAAGAGTTCTAGAAATTGTAGAATATACAAGTTGGGGATCGAACCACATTCAAGGGCATGGCTGTATAAATGACATAATTCACAACAGTACTCCAAAGACTGTGTAGCAGTCAGTGACAGGAAGGACACAGCATACTGGTGAGGGCCACTACTTAGGTGTTGGGACTTCTGTTGCATTGGTTTCCTGGTAAGAAGTGTTAACCCTGGGGATTTTCTCAAAACATTGTGGTCAGTGGTTGGTATTATCTGAAGGAAATCATGTTGTATTATTGTTTATTTAGGCATGGTTTAAAATTGTCTATCCTCAAGTATTAGTTGTATCATCTAAATAACACTCTTCATCTTCCCTGTTAGGACCTCTTAGACTCAGAGTCTGAGAATGTTGCAATTTATTAATGTCAGCAAGGTAATAATAACTCCCCTTACAGAGTGACATGAATAATTAGATAAATCAAGCACGGAATCATAAGTATTAGGCTGAGAAGTCCCACGTGCACCTCCTGATGCTTCTATCTAATGATCCAATATCTCAAATGTAGGAAGGCCCTAAACATCATTTGGACATTTTGTTAAGGGCTCTGAGGTTATAATATCCACCTTCAATGGAGACAGGGCGGGGAACAAAGATAAGGAAAATAGCATCACCATTATCCGAGACTACTGGGATGAGAGGTATGTCCACATACTTAGGCAGCTCATATTGTCAATGCAAGATGATCTTTGAATTCTATGCAAGCAGTAGAATGTGCCATTTCTACTAACAGCTTTCCTGACCACTTGATATCCTCTTACAAAAGTCAATTACTTAACAGCTCTATTAAACAATTCAAAATCCTATAGTAAAACATTCCCTGCTTGTCCTCTCTATGATGGCTTCTGTTTTATTATGTAAACCCAACAGATAAAGCAGCCTAAGTTCCTCAGGTTTACTAATCTCTATATTTAATGGCATAAACAGGAGAGTTATTTCAGTGCTGCTGAGGCATAGGAAAATGAGTGTGTATGAGGATGGAAGGGGCTTGACTGGATGCTTCTAGTCAAGCCTCACAGAATCCTTCAAAGTCTGACTGCCTGCATCTAAGAAATGCTGAGTCAATTTGAAGCACTTAGAGAAGCAACTCCCACAGTTTAGACTCCAATATTCTTGACAGTATCAAGTTGCATAGTCTTTCAGGTTGCTGATGGTGGATCTGTCCCAGATCCACTGCCACTAAACCTCCATAGGACTGCATCTGTGAAGCCCGATGCAGCATAGATCAGGAGCTTAGGAGCTTTTCTGGGTGTTGCTGATACCAAGCTAACGAGTTATTTCTGTCTTCACTAGCTTGGCAAGTGATGGTGACTTTTTCTTTCAGAGATGCCCATACAGAAAATGGAATTTGTGTCAACAGAACATTACATCTACTGTGTGGCATTAAATATATTTTAAATATAGCCACATGATTCAGCATGTCAGTAGATATATTACACATGGAATTGTACAGCAATGACCACATTGTGCTAAGCAAATTCCAACTGTTGCCTTTCCTTTCCTAGTAACCAGACCAGCAAGAGTCCCGGGAACTGAATGGAGGCCTTCATGCCTGTGCAGTTTTCTAACTGTAACTGACTTCTGTACACAGTGTGTCCAGATTATGAAGGAATCAAGTGTGCTCTGGGATGTGCCCTGGGCATACACAAATCTTCAGAAACTAGTCACTGTTGGGCCCAGCTGAGAGACTAGCTCACTTCAATAACTCAGCAGGGGCCTAGAGTCCCCATGGGACCTAGACTGTAACTAGGGTATGCATATTTTTCTACAAAGAATATGTTGCTCTCTGGGGACCAAAAGTACTGTACCCAGATGTCCTGGGAAAATCAATTCTCATGTAAACATGTCTGAAATCACAGTGAACATAATTAATAGAGATACTAGCAGCTATAGTCCTTTCTATAGTTCGGACAATATTCAGCTCTTACT